GAAAGTATTAGATAAAATCATGTTTTAAGTCTATACATATATAATAAAATTGTACAGTAAATATTTTTTGGAAAATCTTATTAAAATAGTCATTATTATCGATACAGAGGCCAAATCAATAGTTTTTATAATTTTTGTTTGTCTGTCTGGGAACGCATCGCGAGAAAACCACTTTACAGATTTTGATGAAAATAGCTGGTTATCCGGGTTAACATATAGGATACTGCTTACTACGGAAAAATATCTCATCTCTGAAAAATCTATATTAAATATAAACTGCAAAGCAAATAACACTTGTGTCAATAGTTATTTCCGAGACTTATTTACAAGATTTACGATAAATTGCAACTTTTATGTCGATCAAAGCATAAAAATGTACTAAAACATTTATTTAGGCTGTCAATGCTCTATATGTTTTCCAATTCTAAATATGACTTCATAGCTGTGTTGAAGAACGTTTATATATTATTTTTATATATTTTATACACTAACAGCTTTTTACGTGATGCTCATATAACAATGATAATACACTATCAACAATAGAATCGACGATTCAGGTCAACGAGTTACAATGATGGATAGTGTTTTTATTGACGGAAAAATTAAATATTTGACGTCGATAAATGATCGTATCTATTACAACGAATTGCCTATCATCGAGTACAATAAATAGAAACTTTATGTTTAGTTCCTAGAAATTGGGATAAACGAAATTGTTTATATCGAATTATTTTTATTTATTGGTAGATTGTTGCATATTTTTTTATATAGAAGGTACAGAAAAGAAATATGCTTAATTTGTATTATTAAACTTGCCTAAGATATGTGTATCTTTGTATAAATACAACGCGAACGCGTATTGGCTGAGTGGATGTATATTGTTCTCTGATTAGTCTTGATTTGTTTGAGGATTTCTCGACACTTTACACTTTATAAAAGAAGTTTTCTACGAAAAGAAAATATTTTAATCATGAATTACTATTTTCGTAATATAACGCCAAGTCTACTCTCTCTCTATCTACTGATTTTGTAAAAGGATTTCAGTTGAATTCAAATTGGATATAACTTTATCTAGAATGGATTAATTTTGTCGAACCTGTTATCTCAAGCATATTACTCGATGTCAGTTATACACAACTGTGTCTATGTGTACACATAAAAATGTGTGATCATAAAATCAAATGCGAAATTATGTAATGGATATTGCATACATCAGCTTAATGAAAGAATAATGTTTATACACCAAACTATATTTATAAGTTCTAATATTTTTTTTTTCGAAGTAAAAGAAGAGAACATCAAGAGAATCTGAAAGTGTGTTTTAATTTTAATGTAGACAGTGTACTGAATAATTTTAAATAATTAAATCTGTGAGCATTGCAGAGGTATTTAAAGGAAAAACAAAAGTGATGAAATGGTTGTTATAAAATAATTAATTATGATGAACGTTTTAAAGCAGCGCCGGATCAAACATTCATGGCCTTTGTCAAAAAGATTTTTAATTTGTAAGTAAATTTGATGACAATACACTTACGTTTTGAATTATATATGTTACTAGCGACTCACCCTTGCTCCGCTCGAGTTCATCCATAGTTACATTTTAATATTTAGTATAGATTTCTTAGAGATGAGATGTTTTCCCACTATAAAAAGTATCCTATACGCTATGCTAAAAAGATAAGACGACAAAAAATACAAAAAATTTAAAAAAACTATAAATTCGGTCTTTGTATCGATAATAATGACTACGTATTTCATTAAGATTTTCCAAAAAATATTTAATTTACAGATAGAACAAGTATGTTGCTTAAATAATTAATATTATATTTTATATTTTTTCTTTATGATTATAAATATAATAATGACAACAGTAAATATAGATTACTAATTAATATTTTTAAAATTGTAATAATTATAATGATAACAGCAAAAATTAAATAAATAATATTCCATATTCAATTATAAAACTAATTAAAATTATAATAATGTTTAAAGTTATAAAATATTGTAAGGTACTTGGTGCAATTTTTCATTTTGTTATTTCTGGGTAGGCTGTCTGTAACAACTATACCTTCGAGACATCTAACACCTTAGCCTCTCCCGTGACCATGATTGCTGTAAAGCATTCGAAACGTCGGGAACCAAAAATCAAAATAAATCCGCGAAATAATCCGAAAAGATTGTTTTATTTAAAATATGTGTGATGTTAAAATAAGTATGTCATTTAATAGAACATAATTAAATGAATTTTTAAAAATGTCTTTCATAAGGAATTACTTTAAATAATTTTTAAAATTATCTTTCCATTTCAAAACATCGAATAATCTTCGCAAAGATGTAAATCGATTCGAATTCTGTAATGATAAATATTTAAGTTACATTCAGTTTTGTAATAAAGTAAAACAAATATGATGCTTCAAGACTTTGTAAGGATTTTTAAGCTCAATAGGAAAACAAATGAGCTAAGATTTGAATTAAAAGCTCTATGTATAGCAAGTTAAACAAAGCTTTGTAATAAGCTTTGTATATATAAATATATAGATATCGTATTTTGATGCATTTGAATGACTTATTCGATATATTTTTAATTATCTTCCACTTTTAGATATATAACAAATATTCTCTTAGTATTGAGAATTCATTTGTTTGTTTATATGTTCGTATAATTATTGTTCTCATTTAGAGGATATATTATACTCGTTATCTCTACGATTAAAAAATCAGAACAATTTTTTAGAAACCTACAGTATTCTCGAATAACTCATACCCTTTAACTTTGTTATCATAATATCACACGATAAGTCCGTGCAAATTAGCTATTTATAAAAAAAGATCCAATCATTTACATAAAAGAAAGTAACATTATTAAAACAATATTCCATTAAAATCAGAAAATGTAATTATTTATTACTAGCAGAACCCGCGGCTTCGCTCGTGCTAAAACTATAAAAACGGTTTTTGGCTTTATGCTATTAGTAATAATGTATGGAAGTCTGCCCGATTTGTTGACATTTATGATTACTGCTCCGCTCCCTTGGGTAGTAGCATGATGATATATAGCCTATAGCTTTTGTCAATAAGCGGGCTATCTAATGCAAAAAGAATTTTTCAAATCGGATTAGTAGTTCTTGAGATTAGCGTGATCAAACAAATAAACAAACTTCGCCTCTTTATAATATTAATTATAGATTCTTACATCTGCTCTTGGATTTCTATAATAATATTTGTTACAAATTCAATCCATGTTTTGTAAAACATAACCTAATTAAATGATAAATATCGTTCCTTATAAAGTATACAGATTAATTTCTTCAAAGAAACCTTTCATCGTACTAAACAGTGTATTAAGTAGGCAATACTTAAGACCCTCGCGGGCTTCTTTGGCATTAATCTTCAAATAATCGATAAAGTGCTTTATGTTATTTTAATGATGACGTTAAAGTTTTACATGATACAATGTATATATATATATATATATATATATATATATATATATATATATAATATTATTGACACATTATAGGATAACTTATTTTATATGGATTTATAAAAGCTCCTTTACATATATATTTTTTTTTCTTATAATTACAATAACCTTTTGTTTTAAGCTTAATTTTAATTATTTGTCGTAGAAATGCTTAAATAAAACAGTAACGCCACAAATAAAAAAAATAACAGTAAAAAGGTTCCCAAACAACATTTCTACATTTTTCTTTTTAACTCAAAACATTTTTCTTAATAACAAACGTCACAAACAATATCCAGTATAACAACAAATTTAATTAGGCAAATTAATTATTTCGCATCGTCCTATCAGCATTTAAGTTAACATTTCTCTTATTTGCCAAGTTCCTTAGAATGTTTGCAAAACTGCCTGCGGCTTAAAAAAATAAATAAAATAGCCTTCTATCCAAACACTCTTTGTTTTCGAAAATAGAACACCGGGGAAAGGAAACAAAACACATTCGTATTCGTATTCATGCAAAAGGCGCAAGGTTTAAACGTTTGAGCGGTAACCTTTTCATGCGGCGCTACGTCGTTCGTAGCACTCAGTAGAGCTTCGTAGGTGTGTGCTACGCGGTGTTCAGTGTGCTACGAGACGCGGTCGCGGTCAGACGCGTCTGTGATATCACTTCGTTCGTGACTTGTTGCGATGTTGGAAATGAAAGTGGATTGATCGCGTGTCTCTAATTGTTGTTCTATTCAATATTATTGTAAGATGTCTTCGATTTTTATGTGCTTTATTCACTTTGTGTTTGGTTTCTTACGTTAATATTAAAGGGCTATATGGATAAATGTTTGTCTAAGAAATTGAAATTTATACCAAAATTAGACAGCTGTGTTTCTAATTTATGTATAGTAGAAATCTTTGTGATATTTTACAGTAATACTGTTCACTTAAATATTTGTATATCTAAAAAATACATTAGCCAAAATATTTTTTTTTTATTTACTCTTATATATATCTGATATGAAATATAAAATATTCCCACCTGAATATTTTACATTGTATTCAAAACAATATAGCTGGAATTGAGGAGATTATAAATATTGATAGATTTTGGATTTCAACAATGGATTGGTTTAAAAAAGGAAAATGGTACAACTAATTGGCTACAATCAATTCATTCGAAACGAAACAATGATTGAAACGAAACGCTTCAATGATATTCACTTCGCTTTATATACCATTAAATTTTCAATATATTGTTTGCGTACTCTTAAATCTATTTCAATAGTGGATCATTCGATTGGCGGTTAAAATTATGATATTACAATATCGCATTCAGATACGAGTTCTATGAAATATATGTTTTATAAATATTTGATCTATTTTTTTATTTATTTAAATAGGTTATAGAACAAGTAAAGTAATAACAGTTAAATGAGACTATCAAAAAAATTAATTAACTTTGTAGTGAAATAAATGTACGCGAGAGTGCTGGCGGACATAAAATGTACTGTATCGGATAATGCTGTGAATAGTTGATGTGGGCGGAATGAGGAGCGAGCGATCGTGTTTTTGGTCCATGCTTCAGGCTCTGGTCTTATTGCCCACCATGGCTTTGAAAGGTAAGTCTTTGATGTCGTCAAATACTGAATTATTAGTAAAAGCTCATTTTTGAGGTATGATCTTTGAATGATATGAAAAGAAATACATGCTTCCAAAACTATTTATGTATGAACTTAAGCTACATTATATAAACTACGAATTTGTTTTCATAATATTAACCTAAAGTTTTAAATTAAGTATTGCAAATTAAATAAATAAAATTATATTTTCGGATTTTTTCGCGGATTTTGATTCTTGGTTCCTCAATAATTTCGGTTGGTTCCTATGATTTTTGGTTTGGTTGGGAATCAAAAATTAAAAATTTCAGAACCCCCCAACCATCTTACATCGATTTTCATCAAATATAGCTAAGAACACTCCCGACTAATTCACCTTTCAAACAAAAAAAAACAAAATCAAAAGATTCATCCGTTCGGGAGCTAGGAGGCCACGGACAGATACGCACACACAGACAGTCAAACTTATAGCACCCAGTCGTTTTTGGGTCGGGGGTTAAAAATCAAAATAAATATAGGAAAAAATCCAATAAGATCGTTTTATATAGAAAGCCAATTCGAGTAAATCTAAGAAAATATTAACTTAAGCAATAATAATATTATACAAATTCAAATACATGTATACTCTAGTAATTTTCATTAGTGCAGATTCAACACTTACGAGTACCTAAGTCAAAGTTTTAGGTTTACACATCAAATTTACATAAAATGCACAGCGAGTAATCCGAGCATTACAAAATTATACTATAATGTTCATAAGAGCTAAACTAGGTCACTATATCTACTTATATTTTTAATATTTTTTTTGTTTTTCGAGTATATTTTGATTACAATTTTCAATTTAATAATCTTCATACTGTTCTCTGATTATTATAATAACCTTCATCCGTAAAAAAATTAAAAGTTGTAATTATTTTTCACCTTAAATCCTATACAGTATATATAAAGTAGAATAATAATTTGTTAAATTATTTTATACTCCCTAGGTTGCCTCCCTACTCAAACTTTCATCCCCGTTTGCACCTCCTTATGGGATAATTTCCGGGATAAAAACTATCCTATGTCCTTCCCAAAATATTAAACTATCTTCTTACCAAATTTCATCTAAATCAATTCAGTAGTCTCGGAGCTTATTTGATACAAACAAATAAACAAACAAACAAAAAAACGATTTTATCTATTTATAATATTAGAATAGATAATTTATTTAACAAACCGTATTTATATGTAGTTTGATAGGTAATATAATATTTTTGAGTAAAATACACGTGTACAATACGCATGAAATGCCTGACAGGATAATTTATTCGTTGTTTTTTTACTCAAAAAACACAGCCGTGATAAGAGTATATTTTAGTTAGCAATTTTTAAACGTAGACCTAAACTTCGACAATAAATTATTATGTAATTACAAAATAAATAACGCTTTTTGTATGACTTTAAAATGTTCAAAATCTTCAACTATTTTCAATTTTGTGTACTTTAAAGTTGACTGCCGTCATAAGAAACTTTAATACTTACAATAAACTTTATAAGAGCGAGACTTGACCTACATTTATTCTACAGTATATGTAATATTCGTATATTTTATAATTTATTAAGTAATACTAGCTCACACTAGCCTCGCTCGGGTTTGCTTCGAAAAAAAACAAATCTGTCCCACAGGAATCGTATACTTTTCTGGGATAAAAAGTATGTGCCGTTCTAGAAAATAAACTAAAATATTATTATAGACTAAGATTTTAGAATAATCTATCTCTGTGCGAAATTTCATCTAGATTCGTTCAGCCGTTCTGGCGTGATTGAATATCAAACATCCAAACAACTAATCTTTCATATTTATAATATTAGTAAGATTAGTAATATTTAAACACTAAAGTCTTTTGATTTCTGCTGCTTTTGTCCAAATTTTTGTTAATCTTAAGCCATTCAGATCTCTTGTTAAATAATAAAAACTAGCGACACACGCTCGCTTCGCTCGGGTTCGTCCTTAGGTTGATTCCACATACAAACTTTCATTTCCATTTTCACCCCCTTAAGGGATGATTTCCTAAATAAAATAATATCCTATGTCCTTCCTAGGGTCTCATACTATCTTCTTACTAAATTTCATCTAAATTGGTCAATTAGCAGTTTTTGAGTTTATTCATTACAAACATACGAAAATACAAATCTTTCACCTTTATTAGTGTAGATCTATAAAATTATAAACTATTCGTAAAATACATTATTCAAAGCAATGTAAGCTCTATTTTATACGTTCATTTGTTACAGTACTGTAATATAAGGAAATTTTAATTTTTTGACTATCATAATTTTACTTAAATTAATTTTGAAATCGTTCAATAAATTAACGCAATATGGAATATAAACATTGACTATATACTCTACAAAAAACGAGCCACATTATCATATTTTAGGTTCAGGTGGTCTCGGGCAAGTTCATAAAATATCTTCTTAAAAAATGTTTCGCAATTTCGTAATTCTACCTTTAGAGACTAACTTATCCATTATCAAAACATCTTAAGTGAATTACAAATTGAAACTTGAAGCTACCTATTTTTAACATAGCTAGCTAGTATTTGGTCTGTGGATGTGCTCATATATATATATATATATATATATATATATATATATATATATATATATATATATATATATATATATATATATATATATATATATATATATATATATATATATATATATATATATATATATAATATTCGATATACCACTCACTGATTAATTGGAAAATTCAGAAAACTTGTAATCTAAGGAAACTCAAAATTCAGGAAATTCAGGAAATGTTTAAACTTCATGAACAGAGCCGCGGATGCTAATGAATCCTGTATATTAAGTAATTGAGTAAATATGTGTGCTCCTTCGCTTATAGGAGACCACAGCTTTCTCATGTATGTATTATAAGTTATAACTAAGTAAAATATATCAATATGTGAATATGTATCTTCGTCTTTGTTAAAGAAGGGCATACAAATAAACATACAAGCTCACGTGAATAGAATTCGCGATTGGAAATTAGAATACAAATCACTAATATACTTTAAAAAGCTGCAAATCTGTGCAATAGCTTTTTGGTAGTTTTTGGTGCATTATCAAAATACCTCAATAAGTCTGTTAAACAAGCGCTAGTTAAACCTTTCGTAATATCTTAATCTGAGGCTTTTAAAGCACATTTCAATGTTGGAGTAAACCAATATTTTTATCGTCCATACTAATATTATAAATATAAATTAAATCCATCTGTTACCTTGTCAGGCTTTAACCGCTGAACAAATTTCGATAAAACTTGACAAAAACATAGATTGCATCCTAGAGTAGGAAATAGGCTAACTTTGATCCGCGCCCCAGTTACCACGCGAGCGAAGCTCCGAGCAAAAACTAGGATACTATAAGAGCTACTTACTGTAAACTTTGGAAAGCTTCAAATTGTATTTATTATTTTCTGCATGAATTATAAGTTTCTAGCCGGAAATTCTTATCAAATTGATTTAATATATTTTAGGTTTTTTAAAACTTCCACCTGGTTACGGCGAGTATCTATTTTATCCTCTTACTGTAAATGAGGGTAGTTCAAGTTTAGTGCCTAATTCAAGTTGTACATCTGAGCTTTTGTCTTTGATAAGGTATAGATAATAATTAAAGGCAAAAATAAATATTTGTTAAAACTTTGTCCTTTAAAGCGCGCGTCACTTGAGACCCTTTCTATTGCTTTAGTAAATATAAACTTAGGCTTCGTTTTTCATTGCACATAAAATCTGCTGAAATAAGTTATTTATACGCTTTCAATGCCTAAGGGAAAATCTAGCGATAGCACCTACAAGTACAACCATATAATGTGTGGGCAGGAGAAACATTTTAGACTTATTAAATAATATAAAGCACTTGATGGACGTTTAAACATTAAAAAAAAACGGTGTTTATATGTATGAGAAATTTAAACTTTTTTTTATTTATGACTAAAACTTGCTTATTTTATATATTAAACGTTTTCCAAGGGCGATAAATTATAAAAAAAATAGCCATGTATATAAAAAAATATAAACATAGCTTTTTTTCTAATAGTTCATTAAATATAATAAAATACTAATAGTGGTTATGCTTATTATAATATGTATACACATATTTGTATTTAAATGAAAAATTTAGAACTAAAATATTTACGATAGAGTCAATATTTTGTCCGTCTATACAGAAGTCTGACAATTCATGCAAGTCACAAAAAGTGAATTACATTTTTTTTAATTGCACAACCCATATTAATTCTGACTTAATAATATTTCTCATCTTATTTCTTTAGTTCCCATATAAATCGATTTCATTAAAAAAAGTCTGTAAACTAAGCAGTTTATAGATGTTATTACTGAACGAGCTCACTTTGCACCGAAACTAAATTAAGATAAAGGTATTTTTAAAGTGCACATCCGTGAAATCTTTCAAATTTCCATAATCTACCAAACCCGTAGTACCTCTCAACGAGTCCAGCTCACACTCGACCAATCTTTTATCAATTTCATCTATATTTCAAGCTTAATAATATTTTATATTAAATAACATTAAAAAAAGTTCAACAAGAGCTTAAATGAACTTAAAATGGTTTTTTAAACATTATATGTGATCAGTAATGCAGAAACATATATTCAGACGAGAATTATATTACTTACAGTTACTAGTTCTGTACTATTTGTATCCCATGAGAGAAAAGTAGAGCGAAATAATGCGGCATACAGTAGAAAATTTACTATCGAGCTCATATCAATATATTAAAGCATTAGAATAAAATAAAAGCTAATCAGTATACAATGAAAATGAGATATATTATTCAAATTATTTGTAAAAGTTTATCTAAAAAAGACATAACTAATATTCCATACTAATATTATAAATGTCATAGTGTGTTTGTTTGTTTTTTTGTTTCTTTGTCCTTCTTTTACGTCGAAACAGAGTGACGAATTAGCATGAGTTTTTGTGTAGAGATAGTT